AGAAGAGAAGAAATTAAGGAAAGAAGGAAAAATAGAAATTTAATTTAATTTTTTTAGATAAGAAAAGGGAAAAGGATGGAAAGGATGTGAGAAACATATTTTCAGCAATATTTTCAGCAAGTAGAAACATTATTAATGTGCTATGTGTTATACTCAACAAACCTGCCGATACAGCTACTGGTTCTGGTTCTTTTTTCACAGGAGTTTTCTTAGCAGCTGCTGTCTTCTTCTTGGCTTTGGATTTAGTGGCTGCATCTTCATCATCAGAGAGCAGACCAGCTAATGGGTCATCTTCATCAAAATCTTTAATAGTTTAAAAAATATCCCATTAAATGTTCTGTTTAGGCTAAAAGGGAATCTACTATTGATGAATTTAGTCTTCATATTTTATTTGTGAATGATGACCTCATCTTTAATCAACAGAATCAGAAGTCCTGAGGTTGTTTCAAGGTATTGATGGATTTCACGGTGGCCATGTTGGAGGAACTTAACAAAAGAATTGTCAATGAATTCTTTTGTTATATCCTCCAACATGGCTGCCGTGCCTTTCATTATTTAATTCTCTTGGGAATGGTTGAAACCCATCAATAAATGAAACTTTAATTCTAATTTTACTTACCAAGATTATCATATTTGTTGAGACTGAACTTCTTTCCAGTTGGTGATGAACTGCTTCCCCTTTTCTCTGCAGTCTTTCTTGTAGTATCATCTCTTGTCTCAGTTTTATCTTGTTTTTCAGATGTTGCTGTGTTGCTCAGCTTGTTTTTACTAGGTGTAGAAGTTGTAGTAGGTTTTGTATTTGACACATTCTTTGTGGACGTTTTTCTTCTAAGAGAATCCCCAAACAAGTCAGAATCCAAATCATCCATTCCCTAGTTACAGAATGATGTGATAACAAATAAATGACTTACTCTTAGGATAGACTTTTTGCATCATAAATATTAATAATAGTAATAAAGAATATCAATACTGTAGTTAGTAACAGTTGCTACCATCTGCCTAAATAATCTTTTGATCAGAGATCCACTATAGTATTGCTGAGTTTCAATCAGCTGATAAAAGTCTTTGAATCTCAGTATCTGCTCCAAATGGTGGACAAACACTGACCACCATGTGCTTTTAGGCAGAAAGAATTCTATCTAAAACTTGTGATTCAGCTGATGAACAATCCACATGAGACAGGAAATGACGTCAAGTGAAACCCAGCAGTTGATTGAAGCTTACCTCAAGGGTATCTGCAAGGTTCTTGGCATCCAGTTCTGTCATTGATTCTTCCTATTGTCAAAATTATAACAGATATTTGATGAAACATTGTGGACATGAGTAGACAAGAGTGTATAGCATACATCTTTAAAAGCATAACACAGAGCTAAAAATAATGGCCGGTCATCAGGCAATGTCTGGTCAGATTTGGAACTTGTCTAGTCCAATTTTTGCCTTGTCTGTCACTGAGTCATTTTGACCAGTAACGTTGAGCAATAAATGAGGTATACTGGTGACTGACCAGCAATTATTTTTAGCCCTGTAATATAATTCGTCAGGTCTAGATGACAACAACTAATGTGTTGCTGGTTGTTTCAGGGTTCAATAAAATTTGAAGTCATTTCAATCCAATAAAAATGTTTGGATATACCGTTATTTAATTTGCATGTGAAATATTTTATCCATAGTAATTTATACCAGACAGAGATATACAAACATTTACCTCATCATCATCATGAAAGTTGTCACCTGCCATATCAGCTAAACTGCTGTAAAAATCCTCATCTGTTGCACTTTAAATAAGAATCATAACAGTGACAAATGTTACTCACCCCCTCCCTCATATTTTTTTCAATTAGACACAAACATTACCTTGAGGTGAGGGTTGAAAGCTTTGAGCCTCTGCCCTAGTGAATCAAATGAACAAMTATAAGAGAACTGTTCATTAAACCCCTGAAAATACCATAAGGCAGTAATGTTAAGGCTTGACTTTTCACGAAAGCTGTTTCTTGTTGACTCAGTAAAAGGGGGAGGGCTACATACGACCATTTTTACCAAAGTTTACTACAAATCCCCCAGCGCTTCTCTCCCAATTAATAACGTACCTTCCCTACTTACCGTTTTAGAGGCTTGACTTTTGCCTAAAGACATTGGAGCTTTCGAAGAAAGAAAGATATGAAAATGAGTTGGCAAGTAGATTAAGAAGCAGCTGATGAGGAAAGCTCAATTCAAATAATAAATAACATGAATAATACTTTCTGAGATTTCCTAACTTAAAATTAGGAATTTAAATCCATAAATCTTCAATCAATTAACAAAGAAATTCAATAAATAAGATTCAAAATATATGTCAACTTCGTACTCACTTGAGCGTCCCTTGGTCGCTGGGCGACCAAACGGGTCCCCGCTCTGCAAGAAAATAACTAAAAATCACACTGCATTCTATAGTATATTATCATAGTAAGACACTAAATAACGAATGTCTGCGATTGTATACCTTTTTCATGCTTAAACTATCAAGAAATCATCTCGAATATTTAAAAATAACAAAAATAACGATGATCCGCCATTTTGAAAATTCCACGCATAAGGAAGTAGTGTTATGCCACTGACCGAGTTGAAGACCGCGGACTCAGTATTATTTTCGCGCCATTATTTTTTGGTGTTTGGTTGAAAATGTCGGGATCAGGAAATGTAGTTGTGAATTCTTCATCACTTGATAGCGCTGTAGAAACAACTCGTATCCACTTGATGCCTTGTACTATTCATCACAATGGGGATGCTGATGTAGCGAGTTATTTTGATCCGATTGTCGATGGAGTGGCTGTGAAGACAGAGAGTGGGTCCAATACCAACGACAAAGGTTTGGCTTTTGATACGCCTTTCATTGATGCCTTGTTTCTTTTACTTACCTATCACCACCCATATTATTTAATCAACTTAACTGTACAACTATGTATCAGTATCAAGACATCAAGACGAGTTTTAAATCATAATGGTGTAGGAGTACCCCTTCCTAGTCATTACCCACCCCCTCCCCCTCAGTAATTGAACACTACCATAACAATCTAATATGTAGATATATAATTTACTGACATTAAATTTGCCACCACTTGGGAGGAAGGGCTTATACTAAATATAATATCCATACACATAGGAGGACTTCTTGGTGTCATAAGTGAGTATAGTTGTTTATAGAACTAGAGTTAAAAAGCCCCTAGCCTTGCTCTCAGCAGCCCCAGATTTGACATCTTATATGTTCTATTACTGTTAGATTTGTCAGGCTCCTTTCGTGGCCGGATCCTTAAAGGTACCACAGTGAGTTTACCAGTGGGTTATAATGGATATGTATTGAAAGAAGACAGGAAACCATACACTGATGAAGAGGTATGCTGATAGCCGATGAGGTTAAGTCATATTGGGTGTTTGACTCTGTGGAATGTAATGGGGTATTTGGTCCTATAAACTAAAAATGTTTTTCTCACTAATTTCTACAGGATCGTACCCTTCGAGCTACGCACAAGTTTTCACAATTCAACTACTGGAATTTAGAAACGCCACCGTCTGAAAATGACGCGATGACCAAGGCAATGCAGTGGATTGATATTGCATCTGCGGTAAATAAATAAATGTCACCAGCAATACATATGTAGGAATTTGTTGAATCTCACACAAATGCATGTAAATGGGCTTGCGCAGACCAGCAACTAATACTGAGTTTGGGAATCGATTCTAGTTGCTGCAGATGGGGCAACAAGCATTCTCTCTGCCGTACTTCCTATGCTTTCACCAAGATAAACCATCATACCCTCCAATATCTTTTTTGTTCATTTTGACTTCAATAAGTAACTAACTTACAGCTCTTACAAATTAAATACATAACAATCAACCAAAACAGATTACATAATTTTATGCCAACCTAATAATTTTCCTATTCTGTTCTTTATAGCTTCATGGTAATGAAGACGATATTCAGAATGCAACTCCAGACACTATAAGATAATGTATATTCAACAAAGACCTTTAGAAGTTTTTTTAGTGACAGTTTGTAACAGTTTTAGAGCTGTTGAAATAGAGAGAAATTCTGTATCCGTATGTTATGTACATCAAACAATAGAGTGCTCACACTAAATCCGTGAAACAAATACTAATTTTTAGCACTAAATAGTGATAATTAAACAATAGGAAACAAAGGATTCTGTATGAAATAGTACTAATTAGTACTATTTAATGTTCACGGTTTTAGTGCGTGCACTCTACGAAATCATCTTATGGAAAAAATAACTGTCAACTCAAGAGGAATTTTCTTGAAGGCTACAGACTTTATGCTCACCTATTCTGGAATTGGTTGGATTCTATTTATTTCCTTTTCATTGATTAGAGAGGTAACATGGTAACATTAAACAAGGTAACATTAAATCTTCAGGTTGCTAAGCAACAGCTATTAGATGTCTTATACTTAATTAACCGAAATAAACTGTGCACGTCTAATATAATTCATGTATGTGTGTTTTATTATGTATGTTAGCCATCATCGATGTTGTTTTATTTTGCAACAGAATTAATTAACAAATAGTTACACCTGACATTTTGGACCTCAATAACAGACAATGTGTCATTCCCTTGAGTAATATTTCTTTTCTTTTGAGAAGATACATAAATATGGATGCAAAATGATCCCAGAATCTTATTCTCAAGTGAATGACATTTAGTCTGAAATGGAAACATTGATAAGACGTATGACACTATTTGGTTAACTTAGGGTTCTGAAACTACCTCTTAGAATTTCTATCACGTTTTCTCAATCTACTTCTACCACATAAAATCAATTATAGAAATTGGCATTTTAAGAATTCATTATAAGGTTTAGCAACTACATACGTAAAGTCTGATAATACCTCAATGAGTTTTGGTTACTGGATGGATTAATAGCTGCAAGATTTTCCTTTTTGCGTAAGGTTACTTTGCAGCTATGCTGGGATATGAATTGGGGATTCACCCGCGAAATACTTGTCAGTTTGACTACCTTAAAGATATCATTTTCAAGAAACTCCTTGGTCAAAAGTCACCCATACATGTACATCCATTGACCCTTCCCCAATTCCTCTTAAGCCAATATTGTGCAACACTGATTTGCAAGGAGTATTGCAACAGTTCTGAGCAGTACAGCAATGAGAAATTACTTGGAAAAGTTTGTCATAGGAATAAAGAATTGAGTTGGTTTTTCCATCTTTAAATTTAAGATACAGGAACCTTGTTTCATGTGTCACACAGAAATATTTAAACTGTAACCTACTCAGCATGAAACTAATAAAATACCAAGTTCCGGAAATAATTAAGAGATTTTCATTTTTAAGTTTCCCTAATTGTTCCCCTATATTTTGGTTATATTTTTTAGTTAACTCTCATCGTCTTGCGGCACTTCTTCCTTAGGGGTGGTTTTCAATGATGACTTAGGGTTGGGACTGTTTGGCGGTGTAGCTGCAGTCTCTTCTTCTTGTACTTGCATGTGATATTTGTAGATTTTGTCTGTTGTTTCAAGATGACCTGATATAAAATAATATATTGTGGGTTTACTTCTATGTAAGAACAAGAATCAAGGGTGATGTAAGGTAATGCACTTGTCTCTTTTAAAACACCTTTAATTTTTTACCAAACCCTGAAACAACCTCTGGGCTGATCTAAGTCAGGGCACGGCTAAATCACAGATCAAACCTTGATACAACCTCTGGGCTGATCTAAGTCAGGGCACGGCTAACTCACAGGTCGAACCCTGAAACAATCTATGGGCTGATCAAAGTCAGGGCATGGCTAACTCACAGATCAAACCCTGAAACAACCTCTGGGCTAATGTAAGTCAGGGCACGGCTAACTCGCAGATCAAACCCTGAAACAACCTCTGGGCTGATCAAAGTCAGGGCACGGGTCTTGGGTTCCATTTATGAGATTAAATGGAGATTTGCAGGTTATAGGGAATCAATGGTGTTGTACCATCTCTCAGCTCTGGTGTCTCGGGTTTTATATTTGGACTTGGGATAACCTGTGAGTAGAGTTTGTTGGGTCTCTCCTTTGAAGGTTTTTTCTCCCTATGCAGAACCCAGAGTACTAAATTCCCAGTTAGTCTGTGAGCTAGCCACGACTTAGCCCTGGCACCCCATCCAGTTTACACCCCCTTTTTAGGCAAAAAGTAATGACAAAAAGAGGACGAGATTTWAAAAAATGAGACATACCTGAAGACAGATTAAAGGACCTTCCCTTGACTCCAGAATCTTTGGGTGGTGGGGACCACCAATTGTATAGTGATCCAACTATTGGGACCAGTCGTATTACACCCTAGGGATTAATAACACAATAGCGATTGAGAACATCATCCAGTTGCAAACATACTAGAGTGCATACCATAAATCCATTAAAAAGTTAACCAACAAAATTGTACAAATTAGTGCAACTCTTTTTAGGTCCACTTTCTACTGAGGTCTACTGAATGTACTAATTTGTGCAAATTTGTGGCCAAATTTTTTTCACGGATACATGGCATGCATGTTATGACATAAGTATGTTGTTTTGGTGGTTCCGTTTTGGTTGATTGTCTTATTAATAGTGTAGGCTATTTGTCGTAGGTAATGTGTCCTTAAATCACCTGTTGTGTCAAAATTAACAGCTAAAATGAAATAAGCACCACCTTAATTCTAGTAAGAAGGCAAATTTTAAGCTCACAACGTCAACCATAGTAGAAATGGTATTTGATATATCATTGAATAATTTATAACGATTTGTATGGGAACATGTGCTGGATAGCAAAGCCTCCCATCCTGTATTGTATATTCTAAACTAGAAACACAAATAGTCCTCACCTCCTCCAAGAGTTTATCTTCAGCATCTTTGTGTAAGTCTTCCTCAGCTGCCTCAATCCCTTTCCTTACCATATCTTGCATTTGTTCAAGAAACTATTGCAAAAGGATTTAAGGTTGGTATTAAGATTTTGTACCATGGAACTCATAAGAAGACTAAAGCTGCATCATCATTGTTGCCATCACCATCATCACTGTCATTACCGTTCATCATCAAATATTATCATTACAATTTATCATCATCACCACAACCACCATCATTCATCACCATCATCATTACCATTTATCATCATCATCATGATTATCATCATCATCGTCATCATTTCCATTATCATCATCACCAACATCATCATCATCATAATAATAATAATAATACCTTTATTAGACAGGGTACACCGTTACCAGACTGATAATTTTCAGGTGGCCCTCCTTAATCATGTCCATTAATAATCATCATCCATCATCATCATCTTACCTTACTGGAGTCTGCTAGTTCCACACAGGTTTTGCTGACCAGCTCGACAAAGTCACCATACATGTTAGGATGAGATCCCTGGTGGAATAAAACCAGTCAGCTCTCAGAATCAGTTCTTTCCCATCTTTTTCCCTTTTCTCCACTTACCTTTCTCTACTATCTTCCTCTCTTTCCTTCACTTCTTCCATCTCTTTAACTTCACTATCATGCTAATCTCAATTCCACTTCTTACTTTATTTCTCCCTTTCCTCTACTACCTTTTACCTCTTTTTCTAAAGCTCCTTTCCTTCTTAATGTAATCTTTCTTCCACTTCTCCTCCACTTCCAATGGACTTCCATCCCTTCTGCCTTCTCTCCCTTTCTTTCCCTTCCCTACCCCTCCCCCTCACAAGTAGACAGTGTCGTACCTGGTGTACATTGATACAAGCAAGACCATCTGTTGTTGATCCAAGAGAGAACACACCCTCATGATATTCTGCTATTTTTTGGAGGACCTCTTTGTTCAGACTGTTCAATTCCATCTTCTTGGCCTCACTCAGTTTTTCTGTGGTCTTGAGGGCCCAGTATGGAGGGAAGCACCTAGAAAACGGTACAAGTAACAATATTTACCTTACGTCTGCCCAGGATATGTATTCCTTAACATTTCTCCAAAGGACTATTAATAATTGGGGAGCAATTGTTTTTAGAAAAAAGGACAGAAGGCAGGGCAGGTATTTTTTACACAGTTAAAGATTAGTATTAGATTTAAGTATTAGGTTACTCATTTATTTAATTTCAAGTTCTGACACAGAAGTGGAAAGAAAAGACAGGAGTGAGAGAAGATAAGAGTAATTTATAATTGTGAAATCAAAGAAAAACTTTTTTTAAGTTGTCAATACTTACAGTAGTGAGCCAGCTATCATTGGATCAGTTGAGTCCACCATGATTACATGATTCTTGTCTTCAAGTGCTGTTTTGATGGCTGATTGAGCAACGAGAATACTATCCATACTAGCCTAAAAAGAATATACTTCTTTCAATGCTACATCATTAACATCATAATCACCACCAACATCCATCACCATCACCATCTGCTCCATCAACCAACCAAGTTGTCCAGCAAGCTTTAGTGCATGCCCAAAGGACATGTTAATTTAGCCAATCATAGCTAAATTGAGTGTTATATTGTAGGTCGTGTGTTATATACAACTTTGGTACTTACAACTTTCTTTTTTAGAGAGATAATAAAATCGTCTATGTGGTCTGAAGTTGTTCCTGTCACTGAAAAGATATTTAATTCATATTTGTCAAGGAAAAAAAACAAATAAGTAAAGTAAGGGAGGGAGGGAGGGAGGGAGGGAAGGCGGGAGGGAGGGAGGAAGGAAGGAAGGAAGGAAGGAAGGAAGGAAGGATGAGCTGTGTGAGTGACTGAGTGAGTTATCTACAGTATAAGCTGCATTTCAACAAGACTAGAGATTTTACCTCTTGCTGATAAGATGGGAGTAAACTTCAAGAAGCATCCCTCCTTAGGAATATCAATGATATCAAGCACCACGTTAGGTGCTGCCTCTGCAAGGTAGTCGGCAAGCTGTAAATGACAGGTTTACACAGTTAGGAATGTAAAAAGCTATAATATTCTCAACTTTCACATCCCCATAATGCCTTGCGTTTTTGGTGAGTAACGAATCAAAAAACTGTCCCAAATTGAAAGGTTTCTTAATTGAATTTATACTATACCTGCTTTTA